CCACTGGCGCAGAAAGCCACTGCTGTGTCTACTCAGTAGTCTCTGTTTTTTTCTTTGTTTTTTTTTCAGGCCTCTCTTTCTTCCTTTTACTCAAAATTGCACCCCCATTCTCTCCCCCGCCCTGCTTTCCTTTCTCGCCATTCTTCCTCCTCTCCCTTCCTTCATTGTGTTCTTTACCCAAAGGGGTACAGGGAAATGCCTGTGTTGTACCCCCTGAGAGGCGTCAGTTTGATAAGTTCCAACCACTTCTTGTCCTTAAGAGTCTTGGCTTCCCTCGCCAATAAGAATTAGTTATGTTACTATAGTTTGGGGCTAAAAGTGGAAGCTTGGTTTGATGCATTATTAATTTGGGAGAAATCAATTTAGCTTGAAATCCTCAGATTGTTGCATGGATGTATTGGAGTACTCAGATAATTTTGGCATTTATGTGCTCAAAAAGCTTTGCCATTGCCTTTGGCTTAATTCTTTGACAAAAATGTATCATGGGCTGCTTTTGACCTAAACTCACCTACTCAGGAAAAGTCCCAAGTTATGAATAAGACCTCCCTCAGTATTTTTTTTGTAAAAATGTGTGATTTTGAATTCATTTTAATTGTTTTGATGTTTGCTAAATTCTAAATAATAGTTTTTGTTAAATTTACAAGTTAAATATAGATTTATATATAAATATACACTGATAGCTAAATAAGATTTACTCTAAGATGTGAAAGATCTCAATTTATGACTTTATTCAAATAGTTGATCTATTTCATTATATCTACAACTGGTCAGAAGCAAGGAGACAAACCCATAAGGAGCTTAACTTGCTGTAAGGGGTGAGATCTGAACTTAAGTAAGCTTCTTTTATTTTCAGAAACAAAAAAGGGTATGAGTTTATTCAAGTAGTTGATGCACTTCCTTATATCCACAACTGGTATGAAGTGTGAAGGATCTGAACTTAGTAATTTTCCTTAATTCTTATGAATTCTTAGCGATAGAAAAGTATTTTTAAAAGATTTTAAAATGTATTAAAGTACTTGATCCATTTTGTTATATCTTCAATTGGCATGAGACAAAAAAGTGAGCAATATAATTTTTTCGATATGTGAGACTTGATGAATTTTCCAAAAGAGTATAAAAGTGAAATGGTTTACAGTAAACAATTTAAAATTTTAATCTTCAGATCCTGTGTTTCAGTGATGTTACTTAAACTTGTTTTAAAAAATTCTTGATACACACTAAATGTTCTAAAGTAAAATATCAAATAGATGCATTCCAAAAAAAATTTTTTTAATCATTATTTGTTTAAAAAATAAAAGCAGTTTAAAAAATACCTGGTTCTCTATTTTTATGTTGCTGATTTAGTTCATACAGAGTTTGTATCCCAGCAAAGGAATCCTGGAGGGTTGCAGAGTAGGAGTCGGGGGACAGATGAGGATTTGGGAGGAGGAATGGGCCTGCGATCTTGGTGGTAGCCTGTTTCTCAGGGAAAGATTTAGGGAGGAACTTTATCTTGAGGCTGTCCTGAGTTAATGTTTCAGTCTATGAAAAACATGAAATGGTTTCATGGGGAATGGGGACTACCTGGAAAGGGGGGTCTGGCTCTAAGCAGGTATGGATTAAGGAACAGGATTAGGGAAGTGGATGTGTGTGAGGAAGGGGGAATAGGTTGGTGACAAGGACCATAGGCCTGCCTGGCATGGGTTCTAAACTGGTATAGGATGAAAAAAGGATTCCTGGCTTTTGAAGGGGAAGGGCTAGGGAGGAGGCATTGGCCAAGGAAAAGATTCTGGGGGGTTATCTACACATAAAGGATGGGTGTTTGATGGTGATGGGGCAGTTGCAGGGTACGGAAGGGTGCACTGACAGAGGAAGGGGGCATAGACCCTGGCTGGGAAAGAGGGCACTGCCTGGATAGTGGGGGCAGTGGCTGGTGCTACCCAAGAAATTCGTTGGCAGAAGGTACCAAACAAAGACACCAGAGTCCCATTTTACAGGCTTGTCCCTGAATGCAAGAGAAATAACTCTTCCAGTCTTGGGAACCCTTAAGATTTCACTGGGCCTGTCCCAGCTGCCTCCCCTGAGTCTGCCTTCAGCTGCAAGGAGAGGGAAGATTTAACCCAGGCCAGATTCTTCCCCGGTCCAGGGGCACAAACCTTCACTGTGGGATCTGGCAGGACCTGAGGTATATGCAGCGTGTTCCATACTGTACCAGTGACCACAGTCCCTGGGGACAGTGACTGTTTTGGGCAATTTCATGTGCAAAAGCTATGGGGCACTGTTCCCAAAAGGACCCAATTCCAGAAGCCACTTTCATTCATTTACTTACTGTTTTTCATTTGCTCATTATCATGTCCTTCTCACTTTTGCCATAGCAGCCAAAAATAAGGTACAACCATCTGGGTTTGAAGCTCAGCTCCTCCATCCACTTAGCTTTGTGACTTGGATAAGTCACCTAATCTTTCTGGGCCTCAGCTTCCTCACCAATAACATGGACAATTAATATCTGTCTTAGAGATATCTCTTGGCATGTTAAATGCATTAAATGAAAATACATATAAAGTGCCTAATAAATGTTAGCTATTGTTAGTTTCAAGTTTCATTACCTAGGAGTCCAAGATCACAACATTATCAGCTATGGCCACAACCATCCCTTGATTTTTGTCTACAGTGACTTTTGGGACCACTTGTCCTCTTTCCACAGCTTCTGCGGTGGAAACAGAGCTGCTCCCAGGGATGCCTGCCCCAGCTTTTGCTGCCACAGCTTTCTGGGCTGCAGCGTGAAAGCAGAAGCCACTGGAGCTCACCCAGAGTGCCCTCCTGGGGCAAGGTGGCCTCCAAGCAGGGCCCCGTCAGGCCAGTCAGTATCTTCCTTCCTGGCTTTCTGTACAAAAGCACATACAAACACATGCTTTGCAAAACAAAATTGGTATTCTAGTCAAGCCGTTTTTTTTTACTTAACAATACATTATAAGCATGTCCTTGTGTCCTTAAACAGTACTCAATATGGTTATTTTAATGCCC